TGGAAGAGGCAATTCATAGCATACTGACACCCCCCCCCCTCTCCTCTATGCCTTTTTGCTCTCTAACTCTCCCCCCACCTTCTATTTCCTTCAGTCCCTCCAGCCCTGCTTCTTTCCCATTATCCCCACCGTTTTCTTCCTTCACCCCCCTCACTCCTCTCACCCCTCATATTTCCTACTTTTCCCCCATCTAATTGCCTTAAGGCACTGTCTAACTCTTCTTTGTGCGATGTGTGCATCACGTCTGCTCCTGCTGCTGATTCCACTCCTGCCGTATTTACACCCATTTGCTCTGCTAAATCCAAAGACGAGCTTGTGCGTGTGCACACGGAAACACAAATTCATGTGCATTTAATCACATCCACACCCACCAACTCACTTACTTTCTGACTCTCTTTTCATGCAGGCAGATACACAAAATAGAGTTCAGCTCACCTAATCTGATTCTATGCCAAACACTGACAGTAATGATTTTAAGAGGAAATTAAAAGGCTGAAATGTCAAGTACTCAACCAAGTTTGTATGCACTCCAGACTCTTTCTGTCTCATACGCTTACAATTTTTTCATTCCTTTCCCCTCATACACAGACTCCCACTGTCCGCCCTCTCTGTCACTATATATCTCTCACTTTCTCTGTTTTGCATGCAGGCACACAGACATCATCCTTTCCACCTGCTTTCTGTCATTCTGTTTTTCTCTCTCCTCCCTCTTCCACATTTGGCCCCTGGCCAGTCTGTCTTGTTTTTAGGTAACACCACTCCTCTCCGCCCGCGGTCGCCCACAAACCCATATACACTGCAGCAGCATATTGCTGGTGAGACTCAGCCCTCCAGTGTGTTTATGTGTAGGAGGGTATATGATTGCCTTCAAATATGTGTGCCCGTGTGCAGTATTTACAGGTGTGTGTTTGTGTGTGGCTGCAAACACATGTGGGTGTGCATGTGTGTCGAAGAAGATGCGATTAGGTCTGACATGTGTGGAGTGATTGGGAGCTGAGTGTGTGATGCCAGGGGAAATCATGGCTCTATCTAGAGAACAGTGTGAGATGGAGCACACTTAGTCATGCTGACGGAACCACCAAGGATGTAGAAAGCTTTTAGTGTCTGTGCGCGTCTCTGTGTGCCACTTGTCTTTCCACGTGCGGCGTACATGCCTATCAGAAGGTATGCATGAGTATGAGTATGTGTGCATGAGCGAGTGCGTATACTCTCCTTGTCAATGCATCATGCATGTGTTGAGAAAATATGTCACGCCAGCCCATCATAAAATTTAGTAGGTCATGAAAAAAAGAGCTTATCAAATCACTCCCAGCCTCTGCATCATGCATATGCACAATTTATGCATAAAAGAAAATGGAAAGCTTTTAAGAGCTTTGGTGTCCGCGGTAATACAATGCAATGCAGAAATAGAGACACTGTATAACCAATATTACTCATCTCTGAGTTTTGTGTATATGTTGGATAGCAATGTACAAATGTATTCTTTCCCATTTATCCATTATCTGTCACATTGCCTCAATGTATTCCATAAAATGAGAGCAGGGCTCACTTAAGTAGCTGGATCCTTGTTATTCTCAGTTTAGGCATTCATTCATTCTTGGAAAAGGAGGGTGAAGCTAGGTAATTGCAATCTGCAATTACGCTGCTAGATGCAACTAAATCCTACACACTGGACCTCCACAGGTCCATTTTATCCCACGGTCTTTCCTACTATGAAATGTATATGCTTAGTCTGAAAGCCTTAAATAATTCTGATAATACCTGAATAATGATAAAACTTCTGGCCAAACGCTGTGTGGATTTTTTTTTACTTAAGAATGGTCAACTTCAAAAACACTGAATATTAGCACAAAATATTTTGGCCCCTAATCCTCCTTTATCCCAATATCTGCCTTCTAAATCCAAGCGGGTTGAACCTTGTCTTTCTTTTTCATCTGTTTTTTTGCCATTTTAGAAGACTTTAAACTGGAATTCAGGAACTTGAAGCCGTGTGCTGTGTGTGTTTTAGCTTAAATCTGTAAGAAGCCAGCATAGCCAATCTTTGATGAGCCTCTGACACTTTTGACACTCGTGGAAAAAAAATTTCATTTCAACTAAGCAGCTGATAAATACAAGTTTTGGATCTCTTTGGTGTCTACAAACATATGAATGTATACTTACAATGCATTTATGTGTGCCACTGAGTTCTTTCTTTATTTTCTTACAGTAGCTGTATTTCTGTATATACAACATGGCGTGTCATAATGTATAGCAGATCATAAACTCATTACTATTTATGTATTTTAGTGAGATGGCTGGCAGCTACACACCACATTGTAAGAGGATTTAAACATTAATCAACAGTGGAAACTCATCTTGCTTTGCTGATGTTATTTTCCACTGTCATCCAAGCATTTTGATTCCAACCTTTCATATAGTGCCACATTAGTGCCTGCAATATCCGATGAGTAAGCACTTCCTAGTATTAATCTGCAGCAACCCATGGCACAGATCACATTTATATGAGGGGAAGGGAGGGACTCTGTTTGAGGAAACTGATGATACATGCAGTCTATGAACATTACTATGAGGCTTGATTTAGAAATTACATTTAAGTGTCTCTTGGGGATTTGTGAAAATTGTAGAGGCTCAATAAAATCC